GGAACTTTCGCTAAAATTATTGAAGCAAGTGTCATGTTGTATGGAGCCCAGATAAAAAGGAAGGGAGATGCATGTCAAAACTGGCATGGAAGAAGGTTACAATACCCTTTTCACAAGGAGGGCTGAATATTATGGATCCGGAAGATCACAACCTAACACTCGTGGACAAATGGATGATGAAGATTGTCATGCTAGAAGAGGAAAGGGTGTGGGTAAGCTTGGGGGAGTATATCTTGCAATATGATTGGGGACTTTCCAGGGAGGAAGACGTCTGGGTATGCACACAGATGACCTCCTTCCTGCGTCGGGCCTCTTCATCCCGAGTTTGGTCAAATAGCTTGAAAGCTTGCAGAAACTCATACCGAGGAATTTGAAAGTAGACTCAAAGAGTGCGGTGTTGAGGCAAAATCTGTTTGACAACCCGATGATTTTAGATTTACTAGGAAACCCGTTCCAAGCCACTCAGGCTAATGCGAAAGGGTGTTTCCGCAGGAAGTGGGTGGAGCAGGGTGTGGTCTTCATCAAAGATCTGGGGGATGAAGAAGGAAAACAATGACGAACAGAGAATGATCTGCGGGAAAAACTATGGGGGTTGAGGCATGTTGGGCCAAGATCGGAGGACCTGATAACCGCTATCCCAAACGAATGGAAGAAACTCATTCTGGAGGAAGGCTACACCAATTTAGCCTGGTATCACCTGAGAACTCAGACTGAGAGAGAGAAGGCTATGCACGGGTGCTTTCAGACGAGGGAGATATTGTAATTGCAGAAGAATGGGTATCGCAGGTTGATGCAGGCAACAACATTTGCTACGAAGGCACAGTTACACAGAGCCCGGAGGATCTGGGTGCATTGGTGAGAGTGGAAATTTCTCCAAAATGGAATGGGGGTAAACCACTAAAGTTGTTATGCAAAGGTACTCCTGTGGATCAAATGCGATTAGACCCTCAAAGATCCTTTTGGGAAACAGTTGACCTCAAACGGAGGGAGACTACGATAGAGGGTTATACAACAAAATTGGGTACGTTGCTACTCAAACCACCATTAGAACCAGAATAACAAATTTGGAGGAAACTGCTGCAAACTTTGGGTCTTCCAGAAAACTCTCAGAGTGGTCAATTGCAAGCTCCGTGGACCCAACTCCAACTTCTTCCATCCAGAAAGCACGCATGCCTCCTCTGGATGCTCTCGAGATTGATCATTCCTACTGCTACCTGGTTACGAAAACGAGGAATGAATGTAGATTTTGTTTGCGTCCAATGCAATGTGGAAGAAGAATCCACTCGGCATTTGTTTCAGGAATGCCCAGTTGCTCAATATATCTGGACTTGTTGGAGGGAGCACTGGAAAAACCTGACCAACAACGTCTTGGAGTGGAGTGATGAGTGGACTTTGACAGGGCGGCTACTATTACACTTGAACAACAGGTCTGGATGGGGGTATATAGTTCAGGTGGCAAGGTCCATACTTCTTTGGGTATTATGGCAGGGAAGAAATGCCAAAGTATTCAAGAAGGAAGTAACAGTGCTGCAACAGATGCAGGTGGAAATCCGACAACAGCTACGTACAACCATTCTGGTGGACTGGGCCCGAAGAGTGCGGAAGAAAAAGCCCGGAACATAGATGAACATTTTTTTTTTGAATTGGCACTTCGCCCAACCGGCCCATAATTTTTTAAGCACCACCCGACTTTTAAAAAAAAAATAATAATAAAAAAAAATCTCAAGGCGACCCAACCCACCTGAGTGTTTTTTTGAAAATTTCCTCCCACACCCAACCCACCCATCACCCGTAAAAAACCTTCACCCTTGCCCACCCACACCCGCGAGAACAAAATTACCTGCCCGCACCCGGTACCTAATTATTTTTCACGCGCACCCGTCCATTCCCCATTGTCTCAGTCCCTTTGAACATCTTCACGCACAATAGCAACATGACATCCTTGGACGACGGCCCAAAACTTTGAAGCATCTCTGCTTGCAGAAATTCGAATCGCTGCACAAGTTTGAAATTGGGTAGTGAACCTAAGGCTTGCCGCTTGCTGTGGTTAGGTTCGATCCCCGTTCTTTTGATGGGAGTGAACACCCGTTGTTTGGGCCGTGGTCCAGCTGCCACCAGTAGAGCGTGACACATTTTTTCAAGGAGGAACCCAAATTTTGAGTTGCCACTAGCGCGACTCTCTTTTTCGAGGACGAGAATGTTTTTTCCCAGGGGCCCCAGGGTGGAGACTTTCCGTTTCCTGGGCCTCCAACCTTTGAAGTCCACAAATGGACCGCAGATGGGAAATATGTATAAGAGGGGGGGGTTCTTATGGGTTGTCATGGGTCTGTGGGTCGGGTGACCCTGTCACCCACCCATTCAGGTGACCCAGGCCTTACATTGACCCGCCCATNCATTCGGGTGACCCTGGCCTAACATTGACCCGCCCGTCACCCACCCAGGCTTGCTCGCCTTGACCCACCCTCATCCTGCCCATGCCAGCTTATCATGCCTCGTGGGTGGGGTGGGTGCAGGTGGGTGTGGGTTTGGGTACCCGTTGCTCATCTCTAGCCCGGAAGGAAAAAAATATCGCTGGTTTCATAAGACTTGGGGAATGGGTTTGAAGAATAAATTAGTTGCAGTGACAAACCAGGGGAAACTTTCTCTGGCACCATGACTCTTGCATGGGCTTATAAGCTGAACACTCGGTTGCTTTCGTCCCCAGTAGGACGGCAAAAAGGTGGACTGGACTGGGGCTGGGGGCGGAGTGTGTCTTTGGGGAGGTTTGCGGAGGCAGAATTATGCCTTGGATCGCCTCCGGTTTCCGAGAAGGAACCTTAGCCAAGACTAGTTAGTTTAGGTGTTACTACATATATAAGTTGTTTTTTCTCTCTGCTCCATGAGGACAGAGACTAATATTTGGTTTTCTTCCTTTTGTTTCATTCTGAGTTTTTCCCCTTTTGAGCTTGTTGTTTGTGCTGGTTCCGGGACAATGTGAGGACCCAGCCTCAACTACCTTTTCATGAGTAATAAAGACACTGCTCTTTTGAAAAAAAATAAAAAATAAAAAAATTGATCCATCCATCTTTCGGGACATCCGAACGATACAGAGAAGATTAGCATGGCCCCTGTGCAGTTGATGTAGCTCAGTGGTTAGAGCACCGGTTGGAAATGTGCATTGTGGTATGAGGTTGTGGGTTCAAATGTGCAGCCTTGCGCATGGACACCGGCAGGGCGTTAGAATGACGCACGGCTGGACATACACTATCCTCTGACCACTACATGGTTATGATTACAGAACCTGCCTGTATTGGTCAGGGGATCAAGTCCCGGGTGTTGTATGCTGGTTCTGGGTAACGCAAGGCTTGTTCGGGGTGTTGGTCTTGGTCGTTCGATTCTCCTCCCCGGTCTGATATACCACACACACGTGCTATTTCCGATTGTTGCTCATACGGTTGAGTCTTCCAGTTACATCTCACAGGTCACAGGTTCGAGCTTGGTCACAGACTTTGGGGGGGTCTGTCCAGTCTGGCCCGTTATACATGGTATTCTCAACACACATATAGTGCTGACATATGGCCTTCGGCCCTATATATGATTCATACTGCCTTCGGGTATACAACTGGCTTCCGGATATAGACACATACATCATAAAATATCCTACATCCATGGCTTCCTGAGCACATACATATGGCCTAAGGGCTTAAATGCATCTACAGTTGACTGGGGGAGGGGTAGAATAGACTTAGACTCTAGGGTATAGAATACGATAGTTACCCTAGCAGGTCTGAGTTCCACCTAGCCAAGATAGGGGCAAGCTAGGGGAACGACTGTAGGACTGTCAGTCTGAGTTCCGCCTGGCTTTGGGTAAGCTAGGGGAAGGACGGTAGGCTGTGTGGCTGGGGTACTGACTGCTAGTTAGCTGTCCCCGAAAATACAAAAATAAAACCCAGGGGTCTATGATCTCTACAATAAGGATACGAGGTTGGTAGAATATAGTGGTGCCTAGCGTCCGAAGTTCCCGTACAGCGAGGCCTGTCCTATTTCGCTTCCACTGGGGCTGGGGTAATAGCTAGCCTTGGTGCCTATCACTACTGTCTGGTCCACGTCACCCACCTAGCGGTTGGGTGATGGTCCTGAGTGGGTTACACCGAGGTAAGATAGTTGGGTTAGGGGGTACGCTGGGAGTATTGATGAGTAGTAGGGTGGGAGGTGACCTCGTATCTTAGGACTGCGAAGGCTCATCGCTCCCGGTGATCCCCGTGTGCCTGGTAATTAGCCTCTACAAAAAAAAAAAAAAAAAAAAAAAAAAAAAAAAGCATGGCCCCTGTGCAAGGATGACACGCATAAATCGAGAAATTGATCCATCCGAACGAATCTCACAGACGGCACCACTGGGATAGAGGTCATGCAAAAAAAAAAAAAAAAAAGAAGTGGTGACTTGGAGGTCCCAAAGTAGCGGCCTGGGCGTTGGCGCAAGTGGGACCGGCAGTGCCTGACGTCGTCTTGTCGCTGGCGGCGTGGAGTTCCACACATGAGGCCTCGCTCCATTACACGACATTCTACATGTCTACATGTATCAGGACGGAAATAAACGACAAGATGCTCTCCGACGGACGCAACATTTTGGATGCATCTGGACAGGTTCGACGGTCCCATACAATTTGAATTGGTTCTCACAGGAGCGAGGCCCACGATTTGCACAGAGGATGATATCGAATTCGCGTTGTCGTTGTGGTGGCGGACCGAGGCCGGACGGAAGTTTCCTGCGTCGTCAGCTCCTTGTTGCCGATTTCCCATCTCCCACACCAAGGGCCTCGCGCCGCAGGCGCAAAAGACAAAAAATATGGCGGTGCATTTTCCCATCTCCTGGGGCAAGATTCATTCTCATTTTGCACATTTGATGAGCAGTGGAGCGAGGCCCCAAGACATCTGTCTGAATCTGAAATAAGGGCAAAAAAAACAACTATAGGGCAGTGGCGGGGCGATCAACGTGCACCCTTAGCCGCGATGCGAGGCGGGGCATCAGCGTGCGCACTTATTATTATTTTATTTTTCTTTTATGCGAGGCGGGGCGATCAACGTGCGCAATTAGGTGATGCGAGGCGAGTGCACAGTAAGAGGAAGGAGGGAGGAGAAACTGGCGGGGAAGAAGGGCGATTACAATCGGGAAAAAAAAAGTGCGGGCTGATCGATTTCGAGGGGTGAAGGGTGAATTCCATGGTGGTGGCGATGGCTGGGTTTTTCAACCACTCGGCGGGCGGCGTGTCTTCCCGCCCATGGCCTCTGCGCGCCGTGTTGCTTGCACTGGTGGCTGGTATGAGTGCGCTGCTGGCGGGGGAGGTCTCTTGTGTTGCCGTATCCCCGCCCAATCCCGCCCGGCTCCATATGAAAGTCAAGGCCGTTCAACGTCACGTGGGCGATTGGAGACCGACGGAGAGAAGGCGGCTAAGTATTTTTGACGATCTTTTATCTGCAGCACCAATAGAACCACCAGCGGCGCCGCCGAGCGACTCTGGTGATGATGGCGGGTCGGCGGGGATTTCTCTTCCTTCTACCTCTCCCGCCACAACACCAGCACCGGATGGATCCGAACCCGGCGGGGGATCCGGTGGGGGAGGAGGATCAGTGTCGAGCTTGGCCTCGCCATCTTCGTCGCCGCTAATTTCCGTGTCGAGCTTGCCCCCGCCATCTTCGCAGCGGCCAGGAATGTCCAGTCGATTCAAGAGCGATTTGATTCTGAGAAGCATATTGAAGTGGGGATTCGCTGCCGATGTGCTTGTGGGTACTCCTGCCCAAGTCAGGGCTCTAGAGGTCTCGTTTGCCGACTTCGTTACGTGGACGTTTTGCAGTCCCGCGATGGGCGAGACGCCTCTCAATGCTCCCAACCCGCTGTTCTCTCCTGATCTCAGTGCTACGGCGATGGTCGCCAATTGCACGGCTCACGGATGTCTGCCCATCGTTGCTTCAGGCCATGGGTTCTGTCACAACGCGAGTTGCTTGCTTGCACGCTACTCAGGTTCAGAGGTCAGTACGAACATGATTATGGGGGTTTTGATCTCTGATCTGATGATGCTGAAGAACGAAAACGCGTCGCTTGTTCGGTTCGATTCGCTGAGCTGCGTTTTAAATCTGAATGGCTCTTACGTTAATAGGACTAGTGATGGAGTGCTAGCGCTAGGACCGTCGGAAGGAACGTACTTCGCGGCTTTGCAGAGGGAGTTCTCGCTCCCGGACGTGCTTAGCTTTTGCTTCAATGCCTCCGGTTTCTATCAGAGACTGAGTAGTAGATCTCCTTTCAACGCGTACTATGACGGTGGGAGTCTAGTGCTTGGAACCCCCCCCGACTGGGTCCAATTCCCCTCCCCTCTGCCAGTTACTCCCCTGACTAAGTCCCAGGTGTCGAAGAGAACTCCTTACGCGCAATACATGTCGCGTCTCGTGAGCTGGAGCATAGGCTTACCCCCTTCCGGCTCCACTGTTCTGGCAACTCCTGGGTCCGATAGCGTGTTTTTCAGCTCCGAAGCCGTTACCTACCTACCTTCTAGTTCTTTCGCGACCTTACTTGAAGCATTTGTCGATTCGACGACTATGCAACTCGATGGCGATGCGGAGATACCTATTTTCAACGACGCCACCTCTGCCATCTGTGATGTTTCGGTTTTTCCCGTGCTTAGCTTCACGTTCCAGGGAGGGCAAGTACTCATCGCTAAGCCCGAGGAGTACGCCATCTTTGCAAGCTCTTCCTCTGACGGCTGCACCGTACTCTTGCCCTTCACGTCGACTGGCGAGACCGTCGATTACTTCCAGTTCGGAACATCTCTGTTGCAATCCAAGTGGGTAACCTTCGACTTCTCCGCGGGGACCGCGATTGGGGCGCTCAAGATCGGATCTGGGCCGTGTTCTGAGAGCCAGCCGATGGTGTGAAGGCGAAAGGAGCACGCACTTCGATGACGTGAACACGGGAAACAGAAGGGGGACAGCGGCGGGGCGGGCGGCCTGTGTGACGAAGAGTGCAGCAGCTTTTTTTTCGAACGAGGATCATCTCTGTTGCTATCCACCAGACTGACCTTCCACTTCTCCGTCGGCACCCCGACAGGCGTTGTCAAGATGGGATCTGGGCCGTCTTCTGAGAACCATCCCATGGTGCGAAGGCGAAGCACAGTTCGGTGAAGTGAAGACGGGACACGGCGCGGGCAGCTGCGGGGCGGCTTATGACGAAAGGAGTGCAGCACAACAGCAAACTCGAAGTGCAACGATGAACGAAAAGGAAAAGGAAAAGGAGTGCGGAAGCGTAACGAAGCTGGTTTCGAGGGCATGCGCACACCAACACTGCTACCTACGGGTAGTCTCAGGTCGGCGGTCCCCGGATGTCAACGACTACGCTAGTCTGATCTAAGTACGCTGAAACATGATGTCGTTCCGGCATTTCACCGTACCTTCCTCATTGTACTCTCCCCTTTTCGTTCTTCTCTGCCCCCAAATTCGTCTCTCTCTCTCTCTCTCCCTCTCTCTCTCTCTCTTTCTCTCTCTCTCTCTCTCTCTCTCTCTCTTTCTCTCTCTTTCTCTCTCTTTCTCTCTCTCCCCGCTTCAGTCGCACACTCCCCTTTCGTCAGAACCCTGCCACTCTGTTCAGGATCTCCTCCTTGGGCTTCCTTTCTCACTCCTCCCCTCCTCTCTCCCTCCTCCGTCTCCACTTTCTCTTCCTTCCCTCTCCTCTCCTCCTCTTCTCCAGCCCTCCTATTTCCACTTCCTTTCTTTACTCTCCCTCTCTTCTCCGTTTCCATCTTCCTCCCTCGCCCATCTCCTCTCCCTTCACCTTTCCGTTCGTCTTTCCTGTTCTCTCTCCCTCCCTCTCTCTCTCGGTTCCGCGCTGGACATCTCAGAATGTTGCCTTGCTAAAGCGCCGCAACATGCTTTACGACGAGCGGTTTATGGCGGCGGATCTTGGATTGCAGATTCTGACGAGGCATCGATCCATGCATGTCTTAATCTCTTGCCCGTCCAGCTCATTGAGCTCGGAGTCAATTCGTTCTAAGTTAAACACTACTGTAGTCGTAAACGACGTTCTAGTGAAGTACTCAGCGATCGAAGGTTTCTCTCTCTGATTGCACTCATGGAGCGTTCAAGCGTTGTATGTTTCACTCCGGCCCTTTACCATTTCCGTGCCTCCTTTTCTTCCCGTTTCTCTCCTCTCCAGTAAGAAAACTCTCTCTTTGATAAGAAAACTGTCTTTGCTTCCTGGTTTAGACAGGTTTAGACGTATGCTTCCTGTCCCTTTATAGATGCATACTGCACGGCGAGCTTTATCCGTTTGCCTCTACGATGTCCAGATGGACTGGGCAGGAAAAAGCTTCTGTCCTGGTCGTGGCTGCCCGGTAGACAAAGATTGCGTCTTTGTCCGACCGACCATAGCGTGCTTCGCTTGCAAATCATTTTCAAGCTATCCTTTTTTAATAGAACTACCGTGTTCCACCGAATAGATCGTACGGCCTTGATGGCCGTATCTAGTCTGAAATTTGGCCTAGATGCAGCTATTCTGACCGCACCTTCTATTCGGGGGAAAGACGGTAGCAATCCGACATGCCCCCTCTTTCTCTCGTCTTTTCCTGGAAAGAGCTACCGGTAGCTATCCTTATTGAATGATGCCGGACGACTCGTTTTCAGGCATGTGGAGACAGGGGAGGTATAGAATGGCCAACGTTTTCTTACTTGTGTTAACGGCAATATAGTTTCGTTTACCGGTGGTGGGGTGGTGGTGGGTGGGTGGGGGGGGCGCTGGGCAGGATAAGGATCGGGTTCGCTCTTGGTTTTCCATTCCTGATTGCAGTCCAGGGTGCAGTATTCGGGTTTCACGTACTTCCTGTCTAATTGTTGAGGCGTATAATGCACGGAGTACTAGTTTTATTCGTTTTTCGTTTTTGATTTCCTCGCTTTATGGATGTAGTCACGCCTGCTGCATTCACATTGTCGTTATAGATCGTCGTCAAACAGAGCTGCCCGGTAAACCGTAGGCAGAGAGGGAGAAGAGGACAACACAAACCAAACGAGAGGGGCTGTGACAAACAGTTTCGTCGGAGTTTCACCGACTCATCAGGAGGCTGGACCCTCGACAGCTTGCAGAATCCCCTAACTGATTAAACTGTAAGTGGTAATGCACCTTAGCCCCTTAGGTCCTTAGCCCTGATTGTGGCTAACCATCAACAACTCCCCGACAATACATGTATATTATATATATATATATATTTATTAATGGATCGGCATATCTTCTGGGGCTCTGTTCTCACTACTCCTGCGCAGCGGGGGCTAGGTCCCACTTACACGAATTAAGCGATATTGACCGTAGATAGCCAAGATCAACGGCCAGAATCTCTTAATCCGTGCAAGTGGGACCTTGCCCCGGGTTATAGATATGCTGCCGGGTTCCGCCGCGCTGCTTGGGCAGCAGCTGCGCGTTACCTGAAAGCTGATTCTGAATAGAAGCGGTTTTGGGAGTTGTATTGGGAACTCGAGTACTCTTATTCCGGGAATCTTTTTTTGCTGAATATTATTATTCATGTAGGTAAAGTTGGGCTTAATCAGTGAGAACGTATGCTTCATGTCTGTGAGAAGAGGACTTGCTTCGAGCGAAATCAAGATTTTTTTTTTTTTTTTTTTTTTTTGAGAAGTTGTCACTTTTCCATTATAAACCAGATTGAAATCGAGGCCGGGTGAAATCAAGAATTAGTGATCTTGAAAAACATTCTTTTTCTTTTGTTTTGGACCATTTCTCGATTTATGCGGGTCATCCATGCGCAGGGGCCATGCCAATCTTCTCTGTATCGTTCCAATTTTCACGGATGTCCCGAAGGACGAAATGTTTTTTTTTTTTTTTTTTTTTTTACCACTAGTACCTCTGCAAGTGTTGGGAAATTACGACTCTACGGGTTAATGTATTTTTCCCCCTTTTTTAAGCCGTCTCGAAGCGCGCGAAGTCGCGGCGTCGAAGGAGAGTATTTGGGCCTCGATCTACTATTCAGCACATGCACAATAGACGAAATTTGGCAGTGTATCTTTCCATGTTCTAGGGGAGAACAATTCTCATTTTGCACTACTCATGAGTAGTGGAAAGAGGCCTTTCACGTTGTCTGGCCTTTTTCATTTCGGGAAATCGCGGAAATCGTACATATCTGTTTTCCGCTTTTTTTTTTTTTTTTCCTTCTCGTAGGTCTTACTTCGATATAACGGTGTTTGGTCTAGGCTACCAGAGTGGGCCCGGACCACTTGCCCGGCCGGGCAAAAAATAAAATAATTAATAAAAATTAAAATATATATATATATATATATATTATAATTTTTATTTTAAATTTGGTAAGGAATTTTGATGTGACCCTGAGGCAAAAGTCGTTCAGTTTATTTTTCTGCATACATGATAGTTTTATTTTGGAAATATTCGGATTTTTTTTTTTTTAGTTTTTTGGCTGGGACCTTCCATGGTCATTGCACGGCCGGGCCGCCCGGGGAAACAAGGTGAGCCTGGCGGCCTGTCTTGTAGCCTAGTGTTTAGTTGATGAATGGAACGTACTGTGTGTAGTATCCAAAAGCTTTTTATTTTGAGTGTATAATATTTAGGGGAACTTTTCCATATGCCCCTGAAAGTTTTGACTTATTTGCGTGTGCCCCTGGTACGGCCGACTTACCCTGCCGTGGCCCCGAGGCCTCTGAACTTTCTTGCAGGCCCCTGTCAGTTAGGGCTGCAACTTTTCAGCATGCCCCTGCCGTGCCCCCGGCCCCTTTGAACTTTCTTGCAGGCCCCTGTCAGTTAGGGCGGTAACATTTCAGTATGGCCCTGTGGCCATTTGGTCTTGCTCACGGCCGTTCTCCTGGCTCAGGGAGAGGAGCTACCAGGGCCAAGTCCCACATACACCGTTGAGCCAGTTCAACGTTGACCTAGCTCAACGTGTGTGACCCCACGCCATGTCGGAGATGCGTCGGGAGCTGCACATCCAGCGGTTGTTCTTAGGTGTATAAAAATACAAAGACTTTCGTTTTTGTTTTTTGGTTCAAGAAAGGTGTTGAAAAATCCGTCTGCCCCAATACAACGCCCCCTACCCTGCCCATCTTCGGTTGAACTACATACACCACTTGGAGTGGGGTATGGGTTCAACGGCGCTTGTGCCATCATGACCTTCTGTGGGAGGACACTGACATCTGACAATATGGGGGAGGACACTCTGACAGAGAGTGTTCATGCTGTGTTTGGCTGTGCAGCCCCAAACTCGTTTCTGCGAAGGCACCAAGCTAGGAGTACTGTCTTGGTTATTCATTGTTTTTTTGGGAAATAGGGGGAAAAAAGCTTTCAGCAGCATTTGATTCTCCTTTCTTGCCTTTGTTTTGAGTTTTCAAGTAGCAAAAACCGTGTCACATCGTTGTGTTGAGCTAGCTCAACGGTGCATGTGGGACTTAGTCCCTGGGTATACTGGAAATTTGGAACCCATACCAGTAGGGGAATATTGAACATGTTTCAGGCCCAAACAATGTCAGGGTTTTTTAAGAAACTTCAGTCGTTGTGAGAGGTGCATGCCACATCAAAAACTTCCCCTAATATTTATGTTTCGGAAATTTAAAACGAACATAAATAAATCGCCTTGTGCAATCTGTAGCCTGTTCCAGTGTATAATATCCAAAAAAAAAATTGCTTTGGTGTTTAGTTGGAACCTATCGAATTTTGAAGCCAACATAAATAAGTCTACCTATCCAATCTGTTGCCTGTTCTGGAGCGCGGTCCCACTAGCGTCGGGGTATTAGGTGTAAGGCCAATCCGGTGTGACACTGTGTGGCCTTGGGGGACATTTGTGCGGACTGAGTTTTGTGGAAAATAAAACCGGTCTTGTACTTTTTGTTTTGTTTTATCTTTGATTATTGAGCAATTTTATATTTTTTTGCTGCTGTGAAACAAAATTTTCATGCTTGTGTATGAAATTGTTCCGGAAATTGAGCCATGTTCGACTCTTGGAAAAGATTTGGAATCATTTCTGTACATAGTTTGTTTGTTTCTTTTTTTTTCGACAGAAAAAGGAGCGACTTTTAAAAAACTGTGCCGGAAATCAGACCCGCCGTCCCTCACATTGTGCACTGCAGCTCTAAGGCTGAGCAAGGCTCTTCGCCCAAGCAAAGCCCAGGCCACGACTGTAGCAAGATTCTACTCCTTATTCTCAATGCCATCTGGAATCAATCCCTCTCATCTGGAATCAATCCCTCAACTACCTAACAATATCCCTAAAACCAAATGTAACCTTAACCTACAGAAAATTTATACACACTACTATGAACACTAATATGGGCACTCTAGAAGGACAGAACGAAAACGAAAGGGAACAAATCAGCACCAAAGAAACGAAGCAATGGTCACTTGACTCACTTCACAAGTTTTTGTACAACCAACTATATTACAAGAAAAAGCCTGAGAAGCACAGACAGGGTTGTTGCTGTGCCAAACATTCAGTCGTCAACAGTCCCGAAAACTCAGTCCAACAGGTGTTGAAATACTGCATTGATTTCCGCGAACATCCTTTCCGTTGAACTCGATACTCCCAGTCAGCCAAAATAGTTTGTTTGATGGCAAATTTGATTTCAGCTCGAACCATCGGTGATCTCGACCTTTCCTCTCTTCTACCGTCTTCACCTGAAAATAACGCTTGTGTGCTATATAACTTATATTCAACTTACCCTAAAAATATCAGGTTTTTGTTTTTACTCTCTTTTTCTCAAATAGAATGCCCTTCGAATACAATGCCCAGGCATTATATTTGAATGTTCCATGGCCAGAGTGCCTTGTAGAAGTAGTATACATGGGTATGGAAGGGCCGGGAGGGGGATATACATGGGTTTTAAAGGGGCTTGAAAGGGGTTTTGACCTCCATTGCAAGTGGCACATTTTGGTTTGATTTTGTTTTTATTTTTTATTTCCGAGTTCATAAGGAATTCTGTAGTGACCCTCAGCCGCGTTGCCATTCTGGACAACATTATGATATTTGTTTTACAGAATTTTTTGAAATTTTAATTTTTCTAAAACTTCTTTGGAATTTCTGGCCCCCACCGAAGTTGCCACCAATTTACTGATTAATACTCCCGGGCGTTATAAATGAATCGAACGCCCGGCGGGCGTTTTATTTGTACACAACGCCTGGGCATTATTTTCGGGTGAAGACGGTTGCCGCTGAGTTCCTCAAGTTACAAAGAGTCCACGATATGGCTCCTCTTAGTGTCTCTTCTGCATACGCATAGAGTTCAACTTGGGGGAGGCATTAAATTTTGTCTCGTTGCCGTTCCGAGCAGTAGAAAATGATTCGACGGTTCGTCCATCTTGAATTGTTACCAGGAACGGGGACTGTCACATTCGTTTGTCCCCACCAATCCCAAAATGTCTGGGAGACATCAAAGTGATTCTCCATAATTCAAGTTCCTTGGCATATCGTACATTTGTTCGCTGAGCGCACCAGACCGCCACAGGGACAGCCTACGGGCTACAAGCCAATTGACATCGACTTGAGATGTAGAGACCTGATATCCCATTTTTGTAGAGTATTGATGTATTGGGACCGTTTTATTGTTTTGCGAAGGGTATTCCCAAGCCCAGTCGCGAGGGTCCACAGACAGCAAATATGATGGTTGTGAAAGTCTTAGACAGAAAGGCCTGTACCCATTCTCATATTCCCTGACAAATACCGGAACCAGATTTGGAACGGTTGGCAGTGGTAGTGAATTGTGCGCCAAAATCAGGCCAGATCCCAAGCCAAGAGATCCATATTTCATTTCCCAACACGAGTTGGGGATTTTATTATTATTATTATTATTATTATTATTATTATTTTTTTTGGGCGAGTTGGGGATTCGCACCGCCTCAGAATAATCTTTAATC